AACTGCTAAGGTTACTTTCTCTTCCTCAGTACACCACAGCACCTCAAAAGCTTTCTCTAGCTCTTCTACCCATCTCGGTGCAGCCTCGGGGTCACCTCTCCCATCAAACTTTGGGGGTTTCAACCTCAGAAACTGCTCGACTAGCTTGGACATTGGCCTGATCGCATTTACTTGCACTGGACCAGGATTTCCATCAATCACATTATTCCCCTGACCTCCATTATCCCCAATAATTTCACTAGTAGTTACAGCGGCGACAGTAGCACTTCTGTCCCCCATTAGTTCAGCTAGCGGGACTACGCGACCTCGACCTCGACCTTGACCTCTACCTCGACCTCGGCCACTCATCTTATTGATTCTCACAAAAGCTTACCTGCTAAAATCCCACACAGGAATTATCAACCTAGGTCAACTATCCCAGTCTAGAGACTTAGGTAGTGAATCATAACAACCATTCCCTAGGCAGGCAATAAATCACATACAACAATCAATCTCAGCCAACATGATTCGTGCACTTACCTCAGGTCCTGACGCACCTGCACTTCACATGTTATTGCATACGTCACTCAGCAATCACAAGCACACAGTCTGGGGTACGCATGGCACACAAGTCTCCCTAACTGGCTACCCCAAAATCATCGCTCCTTATCACTCCAGGTTTCGACCAATGAAATCGAGCTGACCTTGCTCTGATACCAAATCAACGGGGATGTCACGCCCCGAACTCCAACGGGCTCGCGACACCCCTTCCACGGTCGTATTGAACGCGACGTCCCAGGACGCGTCACCGACCCAAACGAAACACCCAACAATAAAGGCAAGCGAAAGTGAAATTTATTTAACCTAGACAATAAATAATAACAAAGGGATAGCACGCAACGGTAATTGCATAACATCATAAAGCAGTCACTATTACAAAACGATAACCTAGTCTACCAAATTTAAAACCACAATTTTCAAAATGGGGCGGTGGTTGACAAACTTATCTCCTCTACAAAAGGTACTCAAAAGACAGGGTAAATGATCTATCTTTCAATCCCTGTGGTGCTCTGGCGGCATCTCCGAATCGATCACGGTTGCGGATCTGAAATGGTTATATAATAACCGTGAGAACGAGTCTCAATAAGCAACCCCCTATACCCCACGTAGGCCAATGCATGCCCAGACAAGTCGTACATGCAATCTACATCTACCCATAACATATAAAATTCGCATCATTATACTTACCTCGTCATCAAGGCCATGCCAACTCTACACGTTAATCACAACGTGATAGTACAATAATAATAACTAAATAACACATCACAATCGCTCAAACACTAACCACACTTGCACTCAATCAATCCAACTAATTCAACCAGCCAATTCATTCACACTCAATTCGCATGCATGGCCGAACATCTTTCTCACGACCCGCGCCACTGCGCCTCAGGTCCATTCTCACTGCCCGCGCCACTGCGCCTCAGGCCCACTTGGCACACCGGCCATTCATACTTTCACACGGATCGCCGTCAACACGTCCCAAGTCCGTAGCCCTCCGATCAATCCGGGCTCAATTTCCAATGACCGACGTAAATACGTCCCGGTCCAACACACCTCTAACGGGCCACCGTCAACACGTCTCAAGCCCGCATCCATTTGGCACACTGGCCATTCATGCCTTCACACGGACCGCCGTCAACACGTCCTAAGTCCGTAGCCCTCCGATCAATCCGGGCTTATAATCGACAAGCATGCACACGCCATTCAATTCAATCAATTTCACGTCAATTGCACCAAACGATCCATATTCACAACTCAATCCAATTCACAATTTACCACATCAATCCACAAACCCGACATGCAAGTCGGCCACGTACGATCACCCCAAATCATGCATATTATTTTATCAAATCCAACTAGCACAATTATATCATAATATAATTAAATTAAATCGTGCCCTAACCGTTTCGAACCTTAAACAAGTCTATAAAGTACCCAAAGTACTAGGTAAGGTTTAGGAAGTCACTTACTTCAATATGGCCCGGGAAAAAACCCGCACGGGCTCAAAACATGCGGATGAACAGTAAACGGGCCGGATGAACAGTACGCCGAATGAACAGTAACGGGCGGATGAACAGTACGAACGGATGAACAGTGACGGCCGGAGCTCGGCCACGGCCCGGGGCAGTCCGGCCACGGCCTAGGCACGCTCGGGTTGGCCGGGCAGCGGCTAGGCGAGCTCGGCCACGGCTCGGGACGCTCGGGCGACGACGACAACGACGGCGGTTGGACTGGTCTCGGCGAGCACAGCTGCTGCAAGTGGCTGGGCAAGGTCGCCGGGGGCCGGGTGGTGACGGACGGAGCAGCGGCGGCGACCGGAACGGCGGCGCGCGGCGGCTGGTCGAGGCGGCGCTGGGGAAAGCCCAAAACTGGGGAGGCGTCGGGGAGGGTGAAAAATAGGGGAAGGGGAGGTGGTGGCGGCCGGGGGGAAAGCAGCAGGTCGGCGGAGATGGCTGAGGGGAGAGACTGGGTGGCGGAGGCGGAGCGACAGTGGCCGGAACGGCGGCTCGCGGCAAGGCGGCAAAGCCAGGGCCGAACAAGGGGAAGGCGCGGGGAAGAGAGAAACAGGGGGGAGAGGAAGTGCCGCGCGCGGCCGGAGGGCGGCACGGCGGCGTCACGGGCGGCCGGGCGACGGAGGACAGCGAGGCCGACGGACAGGCTGAGCAACGCCGGACCGCAGGCGGATGCGCCGCCGGCGAGCTGCTACTCGCGTAACGCAGCGGGACCGGCGAGCCAGGCGAGCAGTGGCCGGTGAGCGGCGGTCGCGGGCGACGGAGCAAGCCGGCGCGGCTTGGTCGGGCGACGACGCGCGAGGCGACCCGCAAGCGGACTGGCAAGTGGCCGGGCCGGTCCCTTGTGAGAAGCAAGCGGGAGGCGCAACAGGCGGTCGCGAGCGAAGAGAAGACCCACGGAGAAGAAGAAGAAGAGAGGAAGAAAAGAAAAGAAGAAGAAAGAAAGAAAAGGAAGAGAGAGAGAGAGAGAAGAGTGGATGGGTCTGACAAGGGGGGAACAGACGTGCGCAAGGGGAAAAGTGACCGGAGAGAGAGAGAGAGAGAAGGGGAGAGAAAAATAAATAAACATTCAATCAAATATTAATTGCGATCCGATGGCCCACATTTAAAACCGAAAACGATCTACCGATCCAAATTAATCCTAGAATAGAATAAGGGACAAAGGTCAAATTAATTAAATCAAACTACCACGAGGGAGGTCTACTAGTCCAAATTCGCACCCGGTCAAAAATCCACTTTTCACATATTTCGAGCAATCTCGAGGCCAACTACAATAATATCGATACCGTCCAATTAAATTCGTCCCGAAACTCCGAGAAATTCGACACCAAAGTTTGGGCTCTAAATAACGGCAAATTTCGATCGAGTGCGATTCTAGCGAAATCTCTAATTTAAAAATAATAACCGAGAGTGATCAGTTCCCGGGCAAGATTTTCCTATAAGCACACTGACGAATTACATGTTTTATAAATCCCAACTAGGGGCCAAAATTCGGAATGTCTCATAAAGAAAGAATTTCCTCACGAGATGGCTTTTAGACGGTAAGTGTCTAATAGATCCTTACAAAATATATAGCTAAAGTTGGGGCATGAAGCATATGAGTTATGCAGGGCGTCTACAGCTAGCCAAATCGGTCCTCATCTCCATCTGCACCAATTGGATGCAAATGTTCTTACTCCCAAAACAAACAACATACGATGTTGAGAAGCGGATTCGTCAATTTCTATGGGTAGGTAATACAGCGAATTATGGATCGCACTAGGTGGCAAGGCAAGTAGTTTGCTCACCTAAAAGGAAAGGGGGATTAGAATTGTTCAATTTGAAATTATAGAACAAAGTATTGTTATGCCGCATGCTGTGAAACCTCATCCATCAATCATCCATCCTCTTTCCTTTGGAGTATATGGGCTCACAACACCGATGCAGAGGCACTCCAATTATGCAGGTCAACATTACGGGCAGTATGGCTTGGAGTTAGCGATGTCTCCTTAAATTACGACATGTTTTAACCTTGGTTATCCATAGCTCAAGGTACTATTGCCGAGAAATTTATGATGAACTCAGACATGTGGGATCAATTGTAGAGTGGTATGACCTAATTTGGACCAGCGGTATTAGCAAACACAATTTATTGGCTGGCTTGTTTGCAAAAACAGACTACCGACGGCAAAAATCGTCGTCCAATGGATGACCTCAATTGATATCCAGTGTAACTAATGTAGGGTCGGTATAAAAGACAGAACACATTTATTCTTCTGGTGTGAGTGGACAGGCAGCTTATGGCGCAGTATCCTTGCACAACAGGGGATTAGGCGTCCTTTGGGAGGATGGAATGAGAAACTTCAATGGATGATTAGGGCAACAAAGGGGAAAGATTTGGTGGCTAGACTCCTTAAGGTATCATTTCTAACAACCATGTATGGCATATGGATGGAGTGCAACCGAAGACGATTTCAAAATAAGTCAACTGATATCTATATTATTTTGGCCAACGTGCGTAAATATGTAAGAGGTAGAGTGAATATTAGACCTTCTCAGACAAATGTTGTATTGGCTACTATGTGGAGACTTCCTACCTCCATCTTCTCAAACTATTAGCACCATTTGTAATGCTGGAAGATACCCCTAAGCTGCTGTACTTCATTCGCTTTACAATACTGACATTTTACACCAAAAAAATAATATATATATCTAAAGGAGTGAAAGATTGAACGAGTAGGAGACATAGATACACAAGAACTTTTTTATTACACCCAATGAAACATATTTAGCAGCCTATCTCATCTCAATTACATAAAGCATGGACCCTCCTATTTATAGACTTGTACATAGTAAAACCACTAAAATAACAGTCTAGCCACTTGCTTCTTTTTTACTTTTTATTTATTTATAACAGAGTGCTCGAAGGAGACACACCGAGGGTCCCGTCCACATGCAATAGCACCATCAATTGGGCCGGCTTGGGCTTCTGTTGAGAGTAGGTTGCTCAACAGGAGGTTCACGCTCCATGCCGGCATGAGAGACCAAAGCCCACAAGTGAGTCACGAACTCCCCACCCATAACCAAGTGCTCCGCGTGTGCTTTCGCATCGTCGGATGGAGCCACATACACCATAAGTTCCGCCCAAAACTCGGCCAACACCTTCCAAATAAAGTTTGGACCTTCTCCGACATCCAGCAATTGCTGCCCTAACTGTGCACCCCACTTCATCAAGCTGCTGGTGTCATCCGTTGTATTACCAATCTCCTTCAATTTCCGGATTTTTTCTCCTCCAGTCGTGCACCCTTTGAGCAATTTTCTTGATTCGATAATGACTTTATCGAATACAAACTCAGAATCGTAGGGGTGATTAGGTAACAACTCTGGAGAGAACTCTACCAAGTAAGCAAGATATTTGGATAAGCTGGACGCCACGAGAAAGTTTGAATCTGAAATTCGCACTTCGTGCTCGCAAATACTTGTGGCAATATGCCACACAATTATGACTTGAGTCTGCGTCTCGAGCCTACACGCCCACGAGAGCTTACCTGCCACTTGGTTTAGTCTCAAAGAAGCTTCTCCATTCTCCAATACCCCGGAATTCAACATTAAATAATGGAAAACGGCTTGTTTCACTTCCGATGACAACTCGGCAGGCTTGCTTTCTTTTTTACCGTCCCTTTTTTGATCAATATACGCAGCTGTGATCTGATTGTATAGCCACAGCGGAGGGGTGTAACCATGCGACTCGAGAAGCGAGTATTGGCGAAGTTTCCTTTCCCAAGGCTTCCGTGATCGCATCCGGCATATTAGTCCTATCAGCTTCGGCATACATTTCTTCTCATGCCACGAGGGAGTTTGTACATACTTGCATAGCAATGATACTTTCGCCCACTCCGAGATGGCCATGAAGAAAAGCTGTCCAAGCTGCACAAATGTGAATAACGTAAGAATAAGCGACGTCACCAGAACGTCGATGCTCAACCCGCCTGAAGTAGCCAGTTGAACTTCATCCTGGGGTCTATTCAAGTTGTACGATGCGAAACAAAGTCCGATTGTGGCCTGAGAACCAATGACCAATAACAAGAGCTCCGTCACCTTTAGTTGCCAAAGGACCGGCTGGAAGATGATCGGGCACTTAGTGTAGAGCAAATCAAAAAGAAAGGAAAGCTCTACCTCAATGACCCTAAATGCTCGCTCGTAGCCATTTTTTTCTTCAAGCAAACCATTCCGAATCAACGTCCACAGCTTTTTGTGAGCTTCTTTGGGCAACGAATAGCTGCAAAATCTCAAGGAGAGAAGCTTGTAGAGCGAAAACGATAGGCAAATGTCCTTGAGCTTGCCGTCTTTGTCCCCGCCTGTCGAGCTCAAAAGCGATCCTTGGCATGCCCACACCTTCACGACCGTGACGACTTTGTCTGTGATTTCCAGGGGTGAACCGTTTACCCATGTTGTCTCTTCACCTCTCACAACATAGTTGTATCCTCTCATCTGGATAGGGTCGGGATTGCACGGATCTGACGTCTGGTGCTCGGAGCTCATGTAGTCGGAGATCAATTTGGTGGATCTCTGTAGGTCATACCCTTGAGCAGTCAGGAGAGACTTTGCTTTTTTACTGACCATGAGCTGCGCGAATTGGAGTAGACAGAAGACCCCCCAAATTGTCATGACCCCCCAAATTGTCATGACCCCCCAAATCATCGGCGACATCCTCACATGCATGGACAACAACTTGGCTAACAAGATGTTCTCGAACAAACGTTGCCAATGGTAGTTCTTCCTCCAGTCGTTGTCCTCAAGTCCGTTGTAGGCGGAGAATGAGTCCGAGCTCCTGAAGAAGACAATCAAGAAAGTGGCCCAAACCGGGAACAGCTCAGTTTGGAACGACGTTTCATGCATGAGACCGAGCGTGTAAGTGATGAAGAAGCTCGAGATGGTGTCCACGAGACCGAGCGTGGATCCTGCCCACAACATGAATTTGAGCTTCCGGACATTGTGCCGACGCCCCAGTGAGCCAAAGATGGTGCGAAGCAATAGTAACATCGCCGTGAGGCACACAAGGCTTTCGATGTGAATGAGACTCGCCTTTGGAGTGTGGAGTGTCTTCATGACCGCGGTGGCCTCGGTGAGGGTTTTGTTCACCACTTCCATTTGGCTTTTTTGCAAGTCCCTCATGTTCGGGTATGGAGAAAGATATTGTCTTTTGGGGGTGCAAAGTGTAAGAAAGAGCAAGGAAATTTAGACCTTTCAGACCATGGTTTGGAAACGGAGGCACTCCGCAGTTTATACTGAAAAAATTTCGAGCCTTCTTCGTTTGGTACTTGCGTGTTGTTGGCTGAAGCGCATGTGCCTCATCCGGAGAATCCACGTGGAGAGTAATGGTATGTTGGGCTGGATCCACCTCATGGGCCCAGCTCATCGTAAACAAATAACAAATAACAAAATGGGTCTAATACCAAAAAAAAAATTCATAACTGATACATTCCTACTACATTTACCTCAAAATTATTTTGGTGTCACAAAAACTCCCAAACCTTACAAACGTGTTATATTTACCCCAAACTAATTTTTGTATCACAAAAAACCACAAATAGGCACACCGGCTCTACATTTGGCCCAAACTGGAGGAAAATTACCAAAAAAATCCTATTCTTCTTTTTTAGCCAATTAAGTCCTAAACATTTTAGATTTGTGACAATTCAGTATATCCGGCCAATTTTGACTAGCCGGCATTGACGTGGCCGTCTGGCCGACGCTGATGTGGCCGTCCGGTGATGTTGACGTGGCAATTTTTAAATGATTTTATTATTTTCAAAAATTTTAATTTTGCAATTATTTTCTTCTTTTTTTCCTTTTCTTTCTCTTTCGCCTTTTTTTTTCCTTTCCTTTTTCCTTTGGTAGGTCACCCGACGGAGGCCAGCCTCACCATCACTAGATGAGGGTGAACTCGCCTATACAATAGCAAGGCGAGCCCCCACCAAATCCAGTGAGGGTGAGCCTCCCGCGACCGGCCAGAGGCGAGAGTTGGCAAGGCCATATGTAATGTTGAGCTCGCCTAGCCACTGGCGAGGCGAGCCCTTGCCAAATCTGATGAGTTCTAGCCTCGCTAGGGGTGGGCGTAAAACCTTGCCTAGGGCCTCTTTGGCTCTTGCCTCTAGCCAGTCGCCTCGGTCCGACGACCGGCCAAAGGAAGAAGGAAGGAAAAAAAAGAGAAAGAGAAAGAAAAGAAAATAATAATAATAATTAAAAAAATTTGAAAAAAAATTACCACATCAGCAACGCTTGGATGGCCGGCGCCAGTGCGAGTTGGCATCCACTTCAGTGCTGGATAGACTCAATTGGCATAATTGCAAAGCCTTTAGCACTGAATTGGCTAAAAAAAAGGTTTTGAACTGAATTTAGGACTTTTTTGGTAATTTCCCCCCAAACTGTTATACACATGCCACATTAATCGCAAATTGTGGTAAATCTTGGATTTTGGGTAAATGTGGCACGGGTATTCCGGTTTCAAATTTTTGTGACATAAAAATTAGTTTAGAAGAAATGTGACACATATATTTAAAATAATTAATTTAGAGCCGCCTTGTCCTTTCGTTTTCTCTCCATCATCTTAGAGTCATATATATTTTACTAATCTGTACTTGCGAGAGTAAAATTTGATTTTGTATTATTCTGTCTCTATTACTCTGCCCACATAATTGTAAGAGTGGAGTCTTTATGGAAATAAGCTCGACAGCGACCTAAATCATTATTTGGATGGTAAAAATAAACAGCTCAATTCTTAAATATATCCTTCTGCATATATGTTTCGGCAAGATGTACATAAGGATAATTTATTTTGTATGTTAACGTCCATACATATTTAGGTATGTGTAAAAATTTCCATAGTGGTGTCACGTACCTATCCATGGCATTGACACTTTTATTATTTTCCATTTAAGTTACCTTGCAATCTCAAACATAATCAGTTTGAAGAGGCGAATGAATGATTTAGAAAATATTTTTCAAAAAATGATCATTTATATCGCTTGCAAAAATTAATGAACGAAGAAAATTTTTATTGTTCACGAAAATATGTAGACATAAATTTAGTAATTATTTCAAATGATGTAAGTGATCATTTTTAAGAAAATATTGTTCAAATATTTCATTTTCCGTGAAACAAATGGAGCCTTGATGTGCTTAATAGATCCACAAAGTTGCGTAAATGAATGACATTACATACATAGGTTTTTTTTTTTTGGTAAGGTTCATTACATACATAGGTTAATACCACGAAAAACTGAAAAATGGTACACCGGTGACAAATTTACCCAAATTAATTTTTTGCTCACCAAAAACCCTAAACTGATATACCTGAGATAGATTTTTCCCAAACTAATTTTTGGGTCACCAAAAACTCCAGACCAGTACACTTGTGACATATTTACCCTCTATTAGCTTCCGTCAAATTTTACCATGAAATTGCTGAGCTACACGACACATGGAAATAATCCAATTGACATGACAAGTCCACGTGGAAATCTATATCAGTTTGAGGGTAAATTTGTCACATGTGTATTAGTTTGGAGTATTTTGTGACCCAAAAATTAGTTTGAGGTAAATTTGTCATAGGTGTATTAGTTCAGGGTTTTTCGTGGTATTAACCCTACACACACACATACATACATACATACATACATACATACATACATACATACATACACACGCACACGCATGTTAAACCCCTATATATCTTCTTTGCAATTTCTCTTTCCCTAAACTTGTTAGTACCCGCTGCTTATATTGCTAGTTCACTTAGCGTGTAAAAAGTAATTATTATCTATTAAGGTTGGTTCTAAAAAATTAACTTGTGTTTTCTTGAAAAACTAATTCAATCCCTCTTGATTGCTTATTTGCACCTAACAATTTGACAATTAAAAGGCGGTCCCATCTTGATGGCCATGAAAAGAGCCTACTTGTTGGGATAGCATATCTCAGTTATTTGATTCTCTGGCCTTTGAAAACAAAAAAAATTCAGTTCTTAATCTGTTTTGTTGTAGAATTTTGTCCATAAACCTCATTTATGTTAAATTGGGGATGATTTCTACCTGGAGTTGCATGAATTGTCCCTTGTTATGTCAACTCTGTCCTATGTTTCTGGACCTCTAAGTTCTGCCATTTTGGGTGATTAGATTCTTAGATTTCTCATGTTTCCGTAACGAATACAATTTTCTTTCGACAAAAAAAAAAGATTCTCAGGCTTTTAATCGGCTACTCACATGAAAGATTTCTAAACTAAAAATTGCTTGAGAAGAATGTCCTTGGGGATTTCAAAAAGAGGAAAAAAAACATAATCCTATAATTCTAGTACCATTGGACCCGATAAATGTGTTCTTTAATTATATTAATGTGAAGAGACAATCAAATATAAATAGTCAGACGAGCGTAGGGTATGTGCCGCACGATATAGGATTTAAATTTCATGTAAAATTAATCGATTTCGTATTCTATAATATTCCTTTATCTCATACTCCTAATTCTTTTTATCGATTTGCCATTTATTAGAGGCTAGAGCTCGTCAAACTCGACTTGATTTTAAAAAAAAAATCAATCAGACTCGAGGAGTAATGCACGAATTACCTCGAGTAATTCAGTGATTAACTTTCCCCATATATTTTACTAATCTATACTTGCGAGAGTGAAATTCGATTTTGTATTATTCTGTCTCTATTCCTCTGCCCACATAATTGTAAGAGTGGAGTCTTCATGGAAATAAGCTCGACAGCGACCTTAATCATTATTTGGATGGTAAAAATAAACAGCTCAATTTTTAAATATATCCATTTGCATATATGTTACGGCAAGATGTACATAAGGATAATTTATGCTGTATGTTAATGTCCATCATATTTAGGTATGTGTAAAAAATTGGATACTGGTGTCACGTACCTATCCATGGCATTGACACTTCTATTAATTTCCATTTAAATTACCTTGCAATCACAAACATAATCAGTATGAAGAGGCGTGGAATATTAACTCGATACTAGATGTGCTTAATAGATCCACAAAGTTGTGTAAATGTATGATACTACATACATATGCACATGCTTGTACACACACTCACATCTGTATATTAGATAAATTGAACGTATCGGGTAGGAAGCAATGGAAAAAAGAAGTGAAGGGACATGATATTCGAATTAAAAAGGTAAGTTATGGGAAACAATAAATTCTAATAAAATCGCATGCTGTAGTGTCACCGTATCATTGTTGATATAAACATAGAGAGAAGTTCATTGGACGGTCATGTTACATATTTCTAGGATAATTGCACAATCAATTCTAAATCTATTATACAGATTTTCAATGAGTTATAAACCCTTCAATTGAACTAATGTAGTCTTAAACATTTGAGTGAAAATGCAATTAAGTTCTCCCAACCAAATTTCACCTGAAACTTCCGACGTAGTAATTCAGTTATCGGACGCTATCCTAAATGTAATTTTGACAAAGAAGATGTAGTCATGCTTACTTGCAGCTTCAAGAAATCCTTTTAAAGAAAAATTACCATAGAGAACTTTTGTGCCATAACAAAACTTAATCCAATTATATTCAATAAATTAATTTAAGTGCGTAGAAGCTCATATCTAAATCATGCAAAAACTAAGCTTTGATTCCACAAGCATTTGAACTAAATTTCACTAAGTCCAGAGGTCCGCAGAGAGTAGGGTATAGAACCAAAATCTTGATCTCGGGCACTTTCCATACTTAAGTTCAACGACTGTTGGAGTTTCTAATTTGAAGACCCAGCTCATGGCAATAAAATATGGTATTACAAGACTGTATATGCAAAAAATCACAGACAAATTCGCTCTAATGATTGGTGAGATCACGTGATCCAAGCTAGCGTTAATAAAAGTTAATTTTCCATCAATGGCAAATCCGGTCGACATTGAGGGAAGGTTTTGCATGTGGTTTTCATGAAATTTTGCAGATAATTTTTACAGATAATAAGATCCATAGAACAGCTACATGATCCAAGTTGAACATTCGAATTTAGAGTCCTATAAATCAGAGGAAACTCGGCCAGCAGTGACATAGTCGGAAAGGAAAAAAACAAGATAAGCTGAGTATTCTCGAGATTTTTTTTAGTCGGTCTCTTTTGGAAGCTTGTTATACCATTTTGAGTG